CATGTTTGCAAAGTCTTCTCTCTGCTTCATACAGAGTGGCTTTTTAAAGGCCAATGAAAGTATTTGTCAAATCTGTACAGATGGGGGGATAGGTAATGTTGAAACTGCTGTAGTAGTTTTAGTAATTGAAACAAACTCTTCGTTAAATAGGAATGTGGCAAACAGAACCAGCATTCAGTTTTGTGGTGTAAACTAGAGTTCTGATTGATTTAATTTGATAGATTTACACCCTACTTTTTCTTCCACAGCTCAAAGTAGTATACAGAGGACTTGGTCCTATTTTTTTCACAACAACCCTGTGAAGGAGGCTGATAGAGAGGAAGAGAGAGGAAAGAACCATGATCCAAAGTCATGGTTGAGCATGGATTTGAACTGGGATCTTCCTGGTCCTGGGCCAACACTGTAACCACTGCAGCACCCTGATTTAGTATTTTTCCATTTTCCTCATGTATTTATTTTGCTAACTATTTCTTATTCCTTTTCTGAGCTTTGTGTAACACTGCTTGACCCCAAAAGACGACAATGGGATGGGTAGGTTTGTAGGACTGTTCGCTATTCCCACCAAAATAAAATAAAATAAACATAATACATATCACATCTGTCATATGGCATAATGGAAAGGAACAGCGTTTACAATAAATTACTGGTGACCTTCAGTAATATAGTGTATACATAATAAATCATAAAGCATATACATAGTCAAGCATATACATTCTATATGCCATGCCATGTTATGAAGGGTGAATGTGAACAATAATTGACTCAATGACCGAGAGACTATAGGCATCCCCTTAAATTTGTTTAAAATTGTTGGGGATCATTCAGACAGAGAGAGCCCCATTCATTAACTTATTTTCATCCTGAACCCAGGTATAAATTTGAACAAATCAAAACAGAGTAAAATGTGTTAAATCAATTGCCTGTTAATGCACTTATTGAAAGCCATTTTGCACTAGTGACTAATTCACAGGAAGAACAGAGGAAGAGAGGAAGAGAGTACAGTGATGAAATTGATTGAAGTGGAACCTTATGAACCTGAAGGTCAGCTAGAATCATTAAAGGTTGTTGGCCTGGTCTTGGTCTAATTCTTTTAAGAACCATTATGATATATTGTAACAACAAATTCCATCAGTCTGTTATGCTCAGCTTCAGAGTGGGCCAAGTGTTGGAATTATGGCAGAAAAATATACCAAAGAAACACCAAAGAAAAAAGAAAAGAATTTTTAATCTGGTATTTATTTGGTTTTAACGGGGTTGTTGTTTTCATGCCTATCTGTATTTTTTTTTTTTTTACATGGTGGTTTTAATTATGGGAGCAGCCCAGAGTCCCAGATGTGAAAGGGATAGCTGTACAGATAAAATGAAATGAGATGAAATGAAAATAAAAACGGCCTAACAGCATGCTTCACTAGGGGAAAGATCTAGCTGATGCAAGTCCACCCCAGACAAGGTAGATTGATTTCACTTGTAGTTGAGGGGTGGATCCAAACCATTTAGTTTATGACTTAATATGCAGGAAGAACACCACCCCAGATGGGTTGGTCCAATTACCAGGTTAGGTTTGTCGTGGGAATGCAATATTGCAAGAAGGGCTCTTGACCTGATACCCTTCGGGTTTACGCTTAGCCTCTTCTCCATTGATAAAATCGCTTTCACGAGCGCGGCAAAGCAACTCCAGAGCGCGAGACGCGCCTGCCCGGCAGGGAGGCGCGCGCTCGCGCCACGTGACGCGCAGGGCCCGCCCCTCCCACCGCGCTGCTTTCTCGTTCGGGGCGGAAAGGGTCCAGCCCTGTTGACGTCATCGGACAAACAAGCCTCTCGGTCGGGTGAGGAGTCCGGGCCGCTGGGCGGGGCTTAAGCCAGGGCCGCGGAGGACAAATGACGGGGCGTGACGTTGCCGGGAGGCGTGGCTCTGGCTGGTTTGTAAGTTACAGTATCAGATGGAGCCGCCGGTAGGTGACTCCTGCTAACCAAGAGGCTAGGTGGTACGGAGAACGTCTAAACTTCCGGCTTCTGATTATTGCACAACTCGGGGGCAGAGATGGGAGAATGAATAGGAATCAGTATCAGCTACTTCACTCAAGAACTGGTTTAGAGCAATGTTTCTCAACCTCAGCAACTTTAAGATGCGTGGGCTTCAACTCCCAGAATTCCCCAGCCTACTGGGAGTTGAAGTCCACGCACCTTAAAGTTGCTGAGGTTGAGAAACCCTGGTTTAGAGGCTGCACAGTTCACACCTCTCTGCAAAATGAAGCCTGAGAAACACTTTCCTTTAATAAATATGCCTCTCAAACGGTAGTAGGCTAAGTAAGACACTTGGGAGGAGGCCCTGTGTCATTTTAAAATATTTAAATTCAATCTAAAATGTAAACATATTCCATTTACAGTATCGATCTCTTGCCCTTCTTGTCAGACCTTTATTGGAAATTCAGAGTGCAGGGCAGTTGCTCCTTATCGACTGATTTAGGTACTCCACCTTGTTCCACCCAGTTGCCAGTAAAGTCTGCCAGAACTGCGAAGAGAAGCTTGCCCCGTGCGCTGGGTGTGGCTGGAATCTAACTACTAGTGCGAAGAAGTTTCAGGATGTTTGCACAACCAGTAGCAACTCTGTCTTGAATGGCTGCTACTAATAACGGGATGGTCTCATGTGAATGGTATGCTCTCCACGTTGTTGCTGCTGCTGCTATTGTTGTTATTTCAAATTTGCTACAGCCGCCCACTCTGTAGATGCAGGGCGGCTTGCAGAATCCCAAAGCAATCAAAATAGTTAAAAAACAACAACCACATCCAACACAGACAGCCCTGGACTAAAGCAACTATTACCGAGTTGTAACAGAGAATCCCTTCCACCCTTTCCTGCAGCCTCCTGGCTCTATGTGTGATTTGGTAATGCAGAATTAGGCCTCGGAGTCCCAGGACATAACGTATGTGTCTTCAATGTATTCCGAAGTGGCAGGACTCCCTTGTTCATTGCTTGCAACTGACAGATGGAGTCAGTTTGGGGTAGTGGGGAAGGGCTGGACTAGCAGGGGGGAGATCCAGGGACTGCCCCCCCCCCCCCCCCCCCTTCCCCCCCCCCCCCCCCCTTCCC